AAAACTGACATCTTGACAATATTGAGTTTTACTATCCATGAACATGGACTATCCATTTATTTATTTCTTTGATTTTATTCATCTGAATTTTGTTGTTTCCTTATATAGATATTCGACATATATTGTTAGATATAAATTGAAGTATTTAATTTTTTGAAATTTAATAAATCTTTATTGTTCTGATTATTACAATTGTTCCTCCCCTCCCCCATAACGCCCCCCACCTGGTTCCCACTCCACACTCTGCCCTTACCCCCCACCCCCCACCCCGCAACTGTCCTCATCCATAGGTGTACAATTTTTTTCCAGTCTCTTCCTGAACCCCCACACCCCTTTCCCCCCAAGGATTGTCAGTTACTCCCTTTCTATGCCCCTGATTCTATTATATTCACCAGTTTATTCTGTTCATCAGATTTTTAATTCATTTGATTTTTAGATTCACTTGTTAATATGTATTTGTTGTTCATAATTTTTATCTTTATCTTTTTCTTCTTCTTCCTTTTCTTAAGGAATACTTTTCAGCATTTCATATAATGCTGGTGTTAATGAACTCCTTTAGCTTTTTCTTATCTGTGAAGCTCTTTATCTACCCTTCAATTCTGAATGATAGCTTTGTTGGGTAGAGTGGTCTTGGTTGTAGGTTCTTGCTGTTCATCACTTTGAGTATTTCTTACCAGTCCCATCTGGCCTGCATAGTTTCTATTGAGAAATCAGCTGATAACCGTATGGGTGCTCTCTTATAAGTAACTAACTGTTTTTCTCTTGCTGCTTTTAATATTCTTTCTTTGGCTTTTGCTCTTGGCATTTTAATTATGATGTGTCTTGGTGTAGTCCTCTTTGGATTCCTTTTGTTTGGGGATCTGTGCACTTCCTGGACTTGTAAGTCTATTTCTTTCACCAGGTGGAGGAAGCTTTCAGTCATTATTTCTTTAAATAGGTTTTCAGTATCTTGATCTCTTTCTTCTTCTGGCACCTCCATAATTCAGATGTTGCTATGCTTGAGGTTGTCCCAAAGGCTCCTTGCACTATCTTTAAATTTTTGGATTCTTTTTTCTTTTCCAGATGATGTTTTTTGATGCTTTATATTTCAAATCTTTGACTTGATTCTTGCAATGCTCTAGTCTGGTGTAGATCTCTGTATAATATTTTTTTATTTCAGTCAGTGTATGTTTAATTTCTAGTTGGTTCTTTTCCATATCTTCGAGGGTCTCGCTAAATTTATCGGCCTTTTCTAGGAAAATCTTGAGAAACCTTATAACCGTGGTTTTGAACTCTATATCCAGTTGTTTGCTTTCCTTCATTTCTTTCATTTGTGACCTGTTTCTTTGTCTCTGTATTTTTGCTGCTTCCCTGAGTTGGCAGAGTAGCTTTGTGTGCTAGGTGTCCTATAAAGCCCTGTGGCTCAGCCTCCCCAGTTACCTGAGGTAGACACTCTTGGTGCACCCCTTTGTGGACTCTGTGTGCAGCCTTGTTGTAGTTAAGGCTTGATTGTTGTTGGTATCACTGGGAGGAATTGACCTCCAGGCCAATTGGCTGTGAGGATCAGCTGTGTATATGCTGGGAGAACTTCTTTGCTGGAGACGCCTTATGAGACCAGACTTGCAAAATTGCAAAAGCTTTTGTGTTCAGCTTGGATGGGGCGGAATATCAGGGCATAGAAGACAACATTGGCTTCCCATCAGCTCTGCCTTTTGAGGCTCCTGGGTCTCAGTGTCCCTCAGTAATTGCTGCAACTACATCTGAGAGAAAGCCGCCCTTGAGTTTTGCCTGCTGCCAGAAACTCCGGTTTCTCCCCACGTGATTCTGGGTTCCCCGAGTCGCGCCCGGAACTGGAGTTCAGCACAGTCAGGAGCTTCCGTCTCCCTCCTGCTTGAGAAAGTCAGCCATGCACTTAGCCTCCAGTCCCTCCACACACCTCTGTACTTCAGCCTTTTGCAGCTCCTCTAATTCTTAATGTTCTTTTCTCTTTCCTTCTAGTTGTAGAATTTCCACTCTGTCAGCTTTTCTGTGGTTTGGGATGATGTCCGTTTTGTCTTTTAATTGTAGTTTTGAAATTATTGTGCAAGGCTGATGTTTAGGTGTTTATCTATTCCACCATCTTGGTTTCTCCTCTTTTCAGTATTTGATTTTTTGGTGCTAATATAAATGATACTGTGTTTTATTCTCTTTTTTTCCCCAATGATACTGTGTTTTAAAACTAAAATTCCACTTGTTCATTGCTAGTACTTGTATATATATGAAAGTGGTTAAGCTTCTGCATATTAGCCTTGTATCCTACAACCTTCCTATAATCACTATTAGTTCCAGAAGTATTTTATTGTTATTGTTATTTTGGATTTTGTATATAGTTAATAATGTCATCTGTGAACTAAGACAATTTTATTTCTTTTTCCCCAATGTTATACCTTTTATTTCCTTTTATTGTCTTATTGCATGAGCTAGAACTTCTAGTACAATGTTGAAAAGGATGGTAAGAGGGAACACTTTTGCATCATACCTGATCCTAGTGGGAAAGCTTTGAGTTTCTTACCATTAAATATTATGTTAGTTGAAGGGTTTTTGTAGATATTTGTCAAGTTGAGAAGTTCCCTATAGTTTGCTGAGCAATTAAAAAAAAAATGAATGGGTGTTGAATTTTGTCAAATTCTTTTTCTGTACCTATTGATAAGATCACACTATTTTCTTTTTTAACCTATTGATGTGATTGGTTACATTAATTTTATTTTTGAATATTGAACTAGGCTTGCATACCTGAGATAAATCCCACTGGATCGTGATATATAATTCTTTCTATACATTGTTGGATTTCATTTGCTAATATTTGATGAGGATTTTTGCTCATGAGAGATAATGGTCTGTAGTTTTCTTTTTTGTAATATCATTGTCTGTTTTTGGTATTTGGGTAATGCTAGACAGCCTTAAAATATAAGTTAGAAAATATTTTCTCTACTTCAATCATCTGAAAGAGATTATAGAAACCTGGTATAATTTCTTCCTTAAATATTTGGTAGAATTCACCAGTGAACTCATCTTGGCCTGGTGTTTTCTGTTCTGAAAGTTATTAAATAATGATTCAACTTCTTTTAAAAATATATATATTTTATTGATTTTGTTCAGAGAGGAAGGGAGAGAGATAGAGAGTTAGAAACATCGAGAGAGAGTCATCGATCAGCTGCCTCTTGCACACCCCCTACTGGGGATATGCCTGCAACCAAGGTACATGCCCTTGACCGGAATCGAACCCAGGACTCTTCAGTCCCCAAGCCGACGCTCTATCCATTGAGCCAAACCGGTCTCGGCTGATTCAACTTCTTTAATAGAAAAAAAAACCTATTTAAATTATCTATTTTTTCTCATGTAAGTTTTAGCAAATTATATCTTTCAAGGAATTAGTTTATTTCATTTCAAATTTGAAGTTAGCCAATTGCATTTCAAGCTATGAAATTTGTGGGAATAGTCATTTATAGAATTCCTTGGTTGTCTTTTTAATGTCCATAGAATCTGTAGTATGTCTCTTTTATTTCTTATATTAGTAACTTGTGTCCCCTCTATTTTTTTTTTTTTTTAGTTGTCCTGGCTACAGTTGATGTTATGTTTTGAAGCATAAAAGTTTTTAATTTTTTAAAATTAATGTAATGTCCAGCTTATCATTGCTGCTTGTGCTTTTAGTTTAGGAAACCATTGCCAAATCCAAGTTCATAGACATTTACACCTATATTTTCTTCTAATAATCTTGTAGCTTTAGCTCTCATATTTAGGTCTTTGATCCATTTTGAGGTAATTTTGTATATGGTGTCAGGTAAAGGTCCAACTTCATTCTTTTTGCATGTGGATATTTCCTTGTCCCAGTACCATTTGTTGAAAAGATTATTCTCTCTCCATCTTTAATTATCTGCGCATCCTTGTCAAAATCAACTGACCAAAAAATATGAGGGGTTATTTTTGGATTCTCAATTCTATTTTATTGATATATGTGTTTATCCTATGCCAGTCCTACTGTTGTAACTTTTATGTAGTAAGTTTTAAAATTGGTAATTGTGAGCCCTCCACCTTTTATTAAAAAACAAATTTCTCTCATTCATTGATTCTAGAGGAAGAGGGAAGGAGGGGGAGGGAGGTAGAGGAAGGGAGGGAGGGAGGGAGGGAGGAGAGAGAGAGAGAGAGAGAGAGAGAGAGAGAGAGAGAGAGAGAGAGAGAACAAACACTGATTTGTTGTTCTAGCTATTCACCCACTCATTGGTTGACTCTTGTATGTGCTCTGACCAGGTACCAAATCCGCAACCTTGGAGTATCAGGACAATGCTCCAACTAACTGAGCATTTATCAGAGGCCATAACTAGGGCCACCTTTATTCTTTTTCAAGATTGTTTTGGCTATTCTGCTTCTTCTAAATTTCCATATACATTTTAGGATCAGCTTGTCAATTTCAGCTAGGATTTTGATGCGTTAGTGTTGAATTTGTAAATCATTTTTAAGGGTATTTTCATCTTAACAATAGTAATTCTGCTAATCCATGAACATAGGAAGTTTTCCCACTTATTTAAAAAATTTCTTTCAATACTGTTTTGCAATTTTCAGAATATAAGTCATGTATTTTTGTTAAATTTATTCCTATTTTGATGCTTTTTAAAAAATATATATTTTATTGATTTTGTACAGAGAGGAAGGGAGAGAGATAGAGAGTCAGAAACATTGATGAGAGAGAGTCATTGATCAGCTGCCTCTTGCACACCCCCTACTGAGGATATGCCCGCAACCAAGGTACATGCCCTTGACCGGAATCGAACCCGGGACCCTTCAGTCCCCAAGCTGACGCTCTATCCATTGAGCCAAACCAGTCTCGGCTATTTTGATGCTTTTATAAATGGATTTTTTCTTAATTATTTTCTAGGTTGTTCACTGCAAATGTACAGAAATACAATTGATTTTTAAAATATTGAGCTTTTATTCTGCAACCTCCTGGAATCACTCAGTCTATTTTTTTTTTTTTTCTTTTTTAGATTCCATTTCAAATTTTGACTGGACATCAGAACCTTGTGAGTTCTTGTCACTTCTGTGTGAATGACACAAAGATCCTCAGCAGCTCCTTTGACTACACGGTGAAGCTGTGGGTAGGTGATCCCAAGATCGGTGAATCAAAACATCCTGTTTACTTACGTTGCCTCTTTAGGAGTTCCCCAGTCCCTAAGTCCTGGTTCTCAGGATCACAAGGATTTGGGCAGGGCTTTTTGAGCAAAGTGCAGGAAGGAGAAACGAAACGAGGGCTCGCATTAGTGTCAAGCCCCTGGAGAGCGGCGAGGTTAGTGTAGCAGCTGTTAGACTGTCGGTTTGGAAACAGTGGGCGCAGGCGATAGAGACCACTGGACTGGGAGCTCCTCACCTTTGGTTGGAGAGTCCCAGTGTGTCTAGGGCCTCCCTGGGGGTCTGCGCTGTGTCATCTCTTTGGGTCGCTTATTTGGAAAACTGAGTCCTATCCACAGAGATGGTATGGCCAGGCCTTGCTGGCCACAGAGGACAGGAAAGTGGCCAGGCCTGGGACATGTTTGTGATGGGAGGGTGGGAGAGGCAGACCTGGGATCAGTGTCCAAGGTGCAGGAAGCAGGGGAACAAGGAGCAGGGGTGTGTGTGATGATCAGACAAGGTTGCAGAGTGGTGGCCGCCAAGAACTCTTCAGAAGCCTCTGGGCACAGCCAGCAGACCCTGGTAGGTCTGTTTAGGGGCCTCGCTGTTCAATCAGGAGAAGGGGTGGGGGTGGCAGTGCTCCCAGGTGACCGTGTGGCTGGAGCTGGGAACACGGTGGAGGACAGTCACCTGAGTCTTATCATCCCCTCCAGCTCAGGGCCAGGAGAGGGACAGGGTGGAACGAGTCAAGCATGGTTCCTGAGCCGTGGGCTGGGCGTGGGGTCCCTGGGTTCTGGTTCAGGGGACCGGGTGGGGGATAGCTTGGAGGAGCATCTTGTCTGTCACTGGTGGGTACCAAGGCCAGGCAGAGGAGGCAGGAGGGTTTGGGAACTGTCCACATGGTTCAGGCCCCACACCTGGGACCCACTAGCTGTGTGACCCTGGATGATGTCCTTTCACCCTTTTGAGCTGGGTGAGAGTCACAGAGCAGGTGGTTCTCATACTTTGCTGTCACAGACAAGCTCGGGGCCCATGTGGAACTCAGTCCACAACTTCAGTCAGTGCCTCAGTGACCTCTCGCTCTCTGTCCCTCTCTCCTGTTGATTTGAGGATGCGATGGAGGGAACTGTTATCCGGGATTTTGACGACGGGCCCAAGACTCCTGTTTTGGCGTGCAGTGTCACGGCCGACAGCACAAGGTGACATTTGCTTCCTTCACAAGGGTCAGGAACAGCGAGGGTGAGGAGGCAGGCCAGTGGACAGCACACCAGGGACAGTTGAGTAAAAACAATATGGGAATTTAATTTTCGTGGAAAGTTATCTTATGTAGTGGACTATGATTGCCTTGGAACATGCAATATAATGAGGCGAAGGTACATTTTATTATTATTATTTTAATATATTTTATTGATTGTTTACAGAGAGGAAGGGAGAGGCATAGAGAGCTAGAAACGTCGATAAGAGAGAAACATCCATCAGCTGCCTCCTGCACATCCCCTACTGCGGATGTGTCCGCAACCAAGGTACATGCCCTTGACCGGAATCGAACCCGGGACCCTTCAGTCTGCAGGCTGATGCTCTAGCTAAACTGGTTTCGGCTACAATTTATTATTTTACTAAATGTACAATAAAACATTTTAGAATGAAATGAGCTATCATTTTTTTTCCTGTTAAAAAAAATTAGACATGTGAGCAGAAGTAATTGATCTTTGTGAGGTGTAGATAACGCCTTAGAAGAAGATGGTCAATTATCAACAGAAGAGATGATGCTTTTAACGCCCTAAACACAAAAGAACAGGTTGGGCGACGGGGGTGAGGAAGGAAGAGAGCGGCCTGGTGTGCTGTGTGCTAGGTGCCCTCTGTGTTCGGCGAGAACCCGCCGCCCTCCGGGGGGCAGGAGGGGCTCATGGAGCGTCACTAGGGAGACTACAGTGTTAGTATTTGCAGTCTTAGTCCTAAATGATCGATATTTTCTATGAGGAAACCATATGCATAACTGTCTCCATCATAAAGACCCTGTGCTCGTCATGTTATTTCCAGAATTGCTGCGGTGGCCTACGACAAAACTCTGAGGACCTGGGACCTTGAAACAGGCAAGCTGCTGGTAAGCATGCCCGGCCCAGGGGAGAGGTCGGGCACGGTCTCGCTGGGCCTCCTGGAGCTGTGGGCGGGGCGAGAAGAGAAGCCGGGTCTTTCAGCAAAAGAGAATTTTCTCAGGGGCCCACGGTGATGGAGAGTGGGATGGGGGAGGAGAGCTTGCTGGAGCAGCAGGAGGAGGGCTTCTGCTTGAAGGAGTGCTGCAGTGGGATGGGGTGGGGATTAGGGGTCATGGCATTTCGGGCCGAGGGTAAGAGACCCTCCTCTGTGAGGTGTCTGGATTGGGTGAGGCAAGAAGTAGCACAGAGGCCAGAGGAAAAGGCCCCTTGGCCAAAGCATAAAGGTTCTGGGCCTTTTCCAATCTGTTCTTCATCTTGAAGGGGCCACCACCTATCCATCCAAACTGCCCTGAGACCCCCCACCCACTCTCGTGCCCAGGCCCCAGCAGCCCAGCCCTGCTCAGGCATCTCCTTAGAGTCTCCTGTTCCATTTCCAGTGCCCTTCCCCCAGCAGCTCCTCACGTCTCCTCTTCCTTCCTCCTCTTTTCTCCCCGTGAAAAAACAATCTTTCACCATGGCCTGTGTTGCTCAGTGATTGGGATGTCAGCCCTGAAACCAAAGGGGCCCGGGCTTGATTCCCAGTCACGGTCTCATACCTGGGCTGCACGAGTCACCTCTGGCCCTGGTTAGAGCACAGAGGGAAGGCAACCAATTCCTGTGTTTCTCTCACATCAATGTTTCTCTCTCTCCTTCCCTCCTTCCCTCCCTCCCTCCCTCCCTCCCTCCCTCCCTCCCTCCCTCCCTCCCTCCCTCCCTCCCTCCCTTCACCCTCCTCATCCTCCAGGATAGGAGACCCTGACGAGATGCCTCCTCCTCTTCCTCTTCCCCTTCTTCTCACGCTCTCTGAAAAGCAATGGAAAAATATCCTCAGGTGAGGATTAAAAAAATTAAACATCTTTTTTTTAGTGCAAAGATCACTTTATATTCATTATGAACTTTTCTTTTAGAAAGACAAGTCAAGATAAAAAAAAAAAAAAACCCAAAATTAAAAACCTTAAAAGCTCCAGAGATTATAGTTAACATCTTTCTGCCTCTTTTCCTATGTTTACATAGGAACACAGACAAGTGTGTTCTGTTAACAACATAGTGTCATTCAGTACACATCAGCATCATGCTTTTTTTAAAAAAATATTTTATTGATTTTTTTACAGAGAGGAAGGGAGAGAGATATAGAGCTAGAAACATCGATGAGAGAAAAACATCGACCAGCTGCCTCCTGCACACCCCCTACCGGGGATGTGCCCGCAACCAATGTACGTGCCCTGGACCGGAATCGAACCTGGGACCTTTCAGCCCGCAGACCAACGTTCTACCACTGAGCCAAACCGGCTTTGGCAGCATCATGCTTTTTAATGGGTGTGTGGATTCCATGGGACCAGTAGGTCATGCTCTGCTCCACCATTCCCTGGTACAGGACACTCGGCTGCTTTCACTCTGGCATAAACAATGTTACAATGAGGAAAGTGTCCATATAATCTTTATACATATGCAGCAATACTTTTTTGGATATAGAGCTGGATTTTATTACTAATTTGGTATAGAAACTTAGTGCTTTTAAAATTGCTCTCCAGAAATCTGTGCCAACTCATCCCCTGGGCACTGGAGGAGAGCCCACTGTCTCCCACTCTCACATACCAGATAATTTTAAAAAATTAAAAAATTTAACAGATTTTTGTAGGTGAAAATGAGACTAGCTGCCTCTTGCACATTGACCTTTAAGCATTTATTTATTTATTTAAATATATTTTATTGATTTTTTTACAGAGAGGAAGAGATAGGGATAGAGAGTTAAAAACATTGATGAGAGAGAATCATCGGTCAGCTGCCTCTTGCACACCCCCTACTGGGGATGTGCCCGCACCCATGTTACATGCCCTTGACTGGAATGGAACCTGGGACCCTTCAGCCCGCAGGCTGACGCTCTATCCATTGAGCCAAACCGGTTTTGGCGACCTTTAAGCTTTTAATTAAATGCTTACTTCTCTTGTACTAGTAAATTTCCCATTCTTGCCTCCAGCCAGGTTTTCTATTTTGGATGCTTTATTTCATTTCTTTGCCAAAATGAACAGGGATAAAGTTGGCCATCACTAGAACCTCGCTTCCTGTTCTGCTGGGTGCTCTCTCTGCCCTTGTTCATCAATCGTGGACATAGATTAATTAATTAATTACACTTATTAATTAAAACCAAACGAACTAAAAATTCAGTTTCTTATTTGCACTTGCCCACTATAAGTGCTCAATGCCACATGTGGCCAGTGGCAAGATATTGGACAGCATATAGATGGAACGTTTTTATCACCACAGAAAGCTCTACTGGGCAGCTGGGCTAGAGAGAAAACAGCCTTCTAATCCTTGCTCTATTCCAGTGGAAGATCAAACATGGAGGCTTCTTAACCTCCTGCAACTTTTCTCCTGACGGTAAATATGTGGTCTCTGGCTTGGATGTGGATCATGGAATCTGTATAATAGAAGCAAGAAATGCCATGACTGTGTCACACATCAAAGGTGAGTTTGCATGGGTTCCCTGCTCTGTTCTGTCGGCCATGGTAACAGCTGCTTGTCACTTGACTGACTGACTTTCAGTTGCTTTATTTGGTGAAACTGTAATAACATGAGCGACATAATTTTTTAAAAAATATTTTATCGACTTTTTACAGAAAAGAAGAGAGAGGGATAGAGAGCTAGAAACATCGATGAGAGAGAAACATCCATCAGCTGCCTCCTGCACACCCCCTACTGGGGATGTGCTGCAACCAAGGTACATGCCCTTGACCCGAATCGAACCCAGGACCCTTCAATCCGCAGGCTGATGCTCTATCACTGAGCCAAACCGGTTTCGGCATGAGCCACATAATTAAAGATGGGACACAGATTGCTAAAAACACTTGGCTGTTAATACCAATACTAATCCTCCTCATCAGTTAAACTTTTTCATTCAGTTTGTGCTTGTAATAAATGAAACAATGTTCTGTTCCAAACGTACATGAACATTTAAAGCCTAATCTCCTATTGAATGGAAGCTCAGCCTTCTTAATGTTTTGCTCTATTTTTTAAATATTAAAATAATAATTATTGTGTATAAATTTCCTGTGGTGATATATCATTATGCAAGATGAGGCCATTGGGGAAAACTGGGCATACAGGATCTCTTCATGTTATCCTTATAATTTCATGTCAGTTGACTGTTATAGCAAAATAAATAATTAAAAAATACATAATCTTTGTAATAAAATTTTGTGTGTAAAGTCAAAGACTATTGTACCTATTCTGTCTCCTTCCCAGAGATGCCTATTATAAACAACTAGAGGCCCGGTACCTGACATTCGTGCACTGCTGGGGGGGTGGCCCTCAGGCCCGCCTGTGCCCTTTCTCGCGGTCTGGGAGGCCTTGAACTGGCTTAGCCCTGCTCACCTTAGGCCCGGACATCCTTAGTGCTGCCGTGGAGGCAAGACAGGCTCCCAGACCACTGCTGCTCTCATCAGCCCGGCTTCTGGCTGAGCAGCACTCCCTCTGTGGGAGTGCTCTGACCACCAGGAGGCAGTTCCTGCATTGAGTGTCTGCCCCCTGGTGGTCAGTGCACATCATAGCAACCGGTGGTTGCACCATTCATCCCATTTGCATGTTACCCTTTTATTATATAGGATATGTTGCTGGGTGGCCTTCCTGAACTGTGTGTGTGTGTGTGTGTGTGTGTGTGTGTGTGTGTGTGTGTGTGTGTGTATATTTGCACACACAGTGTTATTTCCCATATGTGCTTTATGTCTGTTTTTATCAGTATGGACCCATGATATGTGCAGTGCTCCACAGCTTGTATGTTTCCCTTAATGTATCACTTCCTCCTCTACCTCTCCTCTCTCTCCGGTTCTAGCTGCTCACCATGCTTTTCCATGCCCTACCCCACCTCTAAGCTTTTGCTCACGCTGTTCCTTCTGCCTGGAGCACTCTTCCCTCCTGCTTTCCTTGATAACTTCTGGGCCCTTCCTCGACCTCTCAGGGCTGCCCCGGGCTGGGCCAGACTTTTGCCAGCCAGGAGCTGTGAGGTACCTCACCTTCCTCTCATGGCCCCTGGCCTGCTGTGGGGCATTGCCCACTCAAGGGTGAATCCCCATCAGACTGGGAGCTCTGCTGGGACTGGGAGCAGATTGGCTGTGCTCCTGTGCAAAGCCTGGCACATGTGGCGGGCACTCAGGAAGGAGTGAGGATGGAATGGTGTTTCTGGACTGTTGTCACTGTCGGGGAGTAGTATGAGCTTCTGGGCCATGAGAAGCAAGTGGCTCAGGATGTGGAACGTGGATAATGAGACCTTTCCCTGTGCCACAGATCATCATGCAAGATCAGTCACAGGCTGCTGCTTCGACCCCGATAGCCAGAAGGTGGCTTCCGTCTCATTGGACAAAAGCATCAAGATCTGGGACGTTACCTCCCAGGCCACCCTGCTCACCATCAACAAGTGAGGAGGGGCCGGGGAAGCGGGGCCGCGTCCTGCAGCGGGGAGGGGGCAGGGTCCCTCTTCGTGCCCTCCTGGGTTTGGCCTGCATACCTTCAGCTTGTTAGCCAGCATCCATGCTGGGCATCTCCAGCTTGGTCACAGGTGCTATGAAGAGGCTGCAGACGGGGGAAGGGAAGGCAGGGAAACCACCAACTGTGACCTGTGGGATGGGCAGTGCATTTGTCTCAATGTGAGTCAACATAATCTTAACTGCTTTTAATGTTTGCAAATAGTAAACATAAATATTTTGTTCACACACACACATTTGCTTCAACTGAGAAACATAATTTAGAAAACTCAAGAGGAGAAGGAAAGTCTACTCTATTTACCCATATTTTGCTTACTATGTTCTGTCTTCCTTTTTGACGTTGCAAGTTTCTTTCATAATTTTGCTGCTTTCTTTCTGTTTAGAAAAACTTCCTTTAGCCATCCTTTTAGGGTAGGTCGGAGGGACATAAATTCTCTCAGTTTTCTTTAATCTGAAAATGTCTTGATTTCCTCTTCATTCCCAAAGACTATTTTTGCTGGATATGTAAATCTGGGTTAACAAGTTTTTTTTTTTTTTTTTTTTTTTTTTTTTTTTTTTTTTTTTTTTTCCTTTCAGCATGTAAAAACTGTCATGTCACTTTCTCTGGCTTCCATGGTTTCTGATGAGAAATCCACTGTCATTCAAATTGTTTCCCCCTTTTAGGTGAGGTGTCATTTCTCTCGCTGCTTTCAAGATTTTTTTCTCTGTCATCACTTTTCAGAAGTTCAATTATGATGTGTCTGGTGTAGATTTCTTTGAATTTATTCTATTTGGAATTATATATTTTTGAATCTATAGGTTTGTATGTTTTGCCAAATTCGGTGATATTTCAGATGTAATTTCTCTGATTACTTTGTCAACCCCACCTTCTTTCTCCTTTCCTTCTGGAACCCTGGTGAAACAAAGGCTTAGATATTTTTGTTATAATCCCACAAGTTCCTGAGGTTCTGTCCCCTACCCTGTATCAATTTTTTTTGATAGGTTATACTGTCTGCCTTCATAGTCACTAATGCTCTCCTCTGTCCTCAACATTGAGTTTTTAATTTTGGTTACTGTATTTTTCAGTTCTGAAATTTCCATTTGATCAGTCTTTATAGCTTCTATTTTTATTTTTTTTTGGCTGAGGATTTCTATCTTTTTGTTTGTTTCAAGCATGATTGTAATTGCCCATCAAAGCATTTTAAAAAAATTTAAACTTCACCAGAGGATTTTTTCTAATTGATTTTTTATTTTTTGTTAATCTTCATCTGAGGATATCATGTCTCCTCCCCCTTCGTCCCTCCTGGCCCCCCAGCATTGATTTTTAGAGAGAGTGGAAGGGAGGGGAAGAAACATAGAGAGAGAAACATTGATGTGACAGAGACACATTGATTGGTTGCCTCCTGCATATGCCCCAATTGAGGCTGGAAATCGAGCCTGCAACCAAGGTACATGCCTTTGACTGGAATCAGACCCATGACCCTTCAGTCTGTGAGCTGATGTTCTAACCACTGAACAAACTAGCTGTTTTTATCAGTGTGGACCCATGGTATGGCACATACATTGGTTGGTTGTCTCTGTATGTGTAGACTGGCTAGGGTAATTGATTTTTAGAGAGAGGGGAAAGGAGAGAATGAGAGAGAGAGGTGAGAGAAAAACATTAGTTGATTGTCTCTGTATGTGCCTCAACCAAACCCAAAACCTAGGTATGTGCCCTGATCAGGAATTGAACCTGCAACCTTTTGGTGCATGGGACAACACTCCAACCAACTGAGCCACCCAGCCAGGGCCCATCAGAGCATGGCTACTTAAAAGAGCTAGGGATGGGACTGCTGTTTCCCCCAGGATATTTGGCTGGAGTAAGGTGGGTATGGTCTAAGGGTGTTCTGTTTTCTTGGGGTCTTTCTTTGGCTAGGGAGAAGAGTTTCTCTTGTTCTCCCTTGCCTTGTTGTTGTTATTACAATATGTCCAGTGCCCAGTCCAGGATATCTGAAGCAAAAAGGAATCCCTCGACCCTCACAGCCCACCCTCCTTTGGTCCCAAGAGTCCTGGCTTATCGGCCTTCTTTTCTCCACCCTTCCTAGTCCTCTGTTTGCTCTGTAAACGCCCAGGGCTGTTAACCGTGCTGTGCAGGAGGAATAAAGAGAAGTGCCTGGACTCCATCTGGTCCAGACACACACGTGCAGCATAAGCACTTCCCCAAACATTGGTACTGAGAAAAATGGTCTTTTGTGAGAAGTGGAATTTGTTTGAAATGAGAACCCATCCTGGAAAAGAGAGATGGCCCTGGTCTGAACCCCAATGACAATGCCCAGGTTCTGGGGGGACCTTTGTTTTCCATCTCCAGGTTTAAACCCCAACGAGAGTGTCTGGATGTCAAAATGGTTCTCAGCTCAATAGGCACAGGAATCTGGAAGGTTTTACCCTGGACGCCCCTGGGAAGTTGACTCCTACCCACCCCTCACCTCCACATGGATCTTGCTCAGTGTGTGCATTTCAAAGAAGCGAGACAGAGTCCAAAACTCTGACCTGAGCACTAGATAACTGTTTTGTCCAACCCTTTCCTCAGGTAAAAGGATTGGTTTTATGACCCGGGCAACTAAGAGATGCTCATTTATGTTCATAGATTTGCTTGAAAACTCTGTCTATAACAGGAGATGAGAATCATGTGGATAATACTTTGAGGATGACAACAAAAAGAAGTAGCAAAATGCTCAGATTTTTTTTTTCTAAAACAAGAAGACATTTAAAGATTGAGAATGGATAAGCCAAAACTACAGTAAATAAAAGTACAACATTAAAATATGCTTTAATGACACTGAAGACAGACAAAGAGAGGGATAAATAAAGAGAGTGAGCAGCTGAGGTAAAGAGGAGGGGGGAGGGGGGAGGGGGTTGGGAAGACTAGCCAGGCTCCATGTCCTGGAGAGAGAGGAGCAGGGAAGGCATGTGGTCCAGCACCCAGGCCTGAAGGGCTGTGAGTCCATTAACCATCCGGACAGCTGTTCCAGCTGCTCTCTCTTCTCAAGCCTCAAGCCGCTCTGGATGGTGCAGTGTTCTCTGCAGGGGCAGTTTGCATCCCAGTGGACACTTGGCAGTGTCTGCAGTGTTGGTTGTCACAAGTAAGTATGAGAGCTACTGGCATCTAGTGGGTGGAGCCCAGGGATGACACCCAACATATCACAATGTGCAAACAGTTCCCTCTCACAATGAGTTATTCAGTACAAAACTCAGTATCGCTATGACTGAGAAATCCTGGGACAGTGAGACGTCGTTGGAGCAATTACTGCCTGGACCATAGTAGGCAGGAATGAAGTCCATGGGTCACAGGGCATCAGCTCCAAGGCTCTCTCCCTTCACCCTCCCCCCATGCAGGTGAGTCATCAGACTTTGTAGGAGCTGAGTGCCAACATGTGCACCCTTCCATCTGTTCCAGGGCACATACCAATGCGATCTCAAGCTGCTGTTTTACCTTCAGCGGCCATTTCCTGTGTACAAGTTCTTGGGATAAAAGCTTAAAAATCTGGAACGTCCATACAGGGGAGTTTCGAAACCGTGGAGCCTGTGTAACTCTGATGCATGGCCATGAAGGTTCTGTGAGTTCCTGCCAATTTGCCAGAGACTGTAAGTAATCCACACTTAGGAATATTCTGCGCCCGTGGGAATGCTGGGCAGAGTACCTCATGTTTCATCCACATGAACTCTCCTCAGCACAGAGCTGACTTTCAATGCTGCTGGCAGTGAGGGTGGATTTCTTTTCCACGAGAACAAAACAACAAAAAAAAGGCAAGAGAGAGATTCATAGACATAGTTTGTAAGTGACAGAAACTCAGTTGGATGTGGTGTAAGTAGCAAAAGAAATTAACCTGCAATGGGCAAGTCCCGGGTCAGGTCTCACTTGAGATGTGGCCGGGTTCAGACACTCAGCCTGTGTTACCAGGGAGCCAACTCCTCTACTTAGACCAGCTTCTTCCTTGTATTGGTATTTCCCCCAAATAGGCAAAGTGGCCCCTGGTGGTTCAAGCCAGCAGCGGTTCTGGCTGCTGGCACTCTTAGAGAAAGAAGCTCCCTCTGATGGCCCCAGCACAAGTCCCATGGAAGACTCCCATTGGCTCAGCATGGGTCACATGCTTATCTCTGAACCAATCACTTTAGTAGGGAATGAAAGGTACCGATTGGCCTGGTCTGAGTGACTTGTCCATCTCCAGGTAAAGAGGTGAAGGTCAGTACACTCTGAAGCAGAGGGACTGATAACAGGTGAGGGGAATTGGGAAGCTATTTCCAGATGAAGGGCAATGACAATAAGCTGCCATGGCAGTGGGGGAGTGACTGTTCCCCATACCCAGGGGCCAAAGGTTAAACTCCTCCATCCTCATGGAGTGTGTGTGTGGGGAGCACCCAGGCAGTACCCACACAATCACAGTATGACTTGAGGAAGCAGGGGTTTTTCTGAATAACTTTTCCTTGTCAGAAGTGGCCTCTGTGTAAGTCAGACCCACGATGCGGTGCCTGCCAGTTTCTGCCCTGGGCTTTATTGGATTCAGGGTTGCACAGACAATCGCTGCTATTTGCAGATTCCATATTTGTAAATTGCAGGCTGAAATTAATTTGCAACCCTAAAGTCAATACTCAGGGCACTTTTGTGGTCACTCGTGGGTATGTGAATTGGAGCAGGGAGCTTGAGTTAGCCTGTGCATGCAGCCCCACTGAAGTTGAATAAGGCGACTCACTGCCTTCTTGCTTTATCTCTCTTATCATAACGTGCACTTTCTGTGGTCCATTTAGTGCCACGTTTCGCAATGTGAGCTCTGAGTTGGTGAGTTGCTGTTGAAGCCGCACCCCTAGTCCAGGGTTGCAGTGCTGTCCAGTGTTCCTGAGTGAGGAACAAGGCTGTGATATGCTTTACGGGAAAACACATGTTACAGAAGCTTTGTTTGGGCAAGAGCTCCAGAACTGATGGCCATGGATTATAGTGAATAAACAATATATAACAAGGTGTCTTTAAATAGAAACCGACATAAAACAGGTTATGTATTGATCAGTTAAGGAAATGTGACCGGAGGCTCACAGGAACATAACCCTGTATTTTCCTTAAGAACAGTGGTTCAGTATTTGCTAATTCAGTGTTTGCCATGACTTGACAGAATGTAACTAGCATTAGTAATGAGAATCAACTGTAATTGGGGTTGCACCGTCAGGAAGGGGTCAGAGTGTTGTCAGAGTGAGCCACGAGGCGCCTCACTGACGCAGCCACAGGCCCGCTGGGACCGCCCCAGGAGGAAGCCGCTGGCTGGGGAAGAGGACCTCTTGAGACTCTCATTTTGTGTTGCAGCATCTTTTCTCGTGTCTGGAGGGTTCGACAAGACTGTGGCTCTTTGGGATGTAGGAGAAGGCTATCGGAAGCTCTCCTTGAAGGTACCAATGCCAGCATCAGATAGAGCATCTGAGCTTTGTTCCTTGGTCATTCCATGCGGGGTGGTGGGTGCTGGGGGAAAGCAGACCTAGATGTCACCCTTGGAGCTGATACCCCTGTGGGGAAGGACAAGCAAATCATCAACAGTGTGAGTGGAATGGAGAAACCACAGCGGGCGATGTGCTAGAAACGGACGGCAGGGACAAGTCGGTGGGTGGGGAGGGAGGGGCTGATGGAGAAGGTGGCCTTGGGGCTGAGAATCAGATGGCGATGAAAGACTGGAAGAGGGGATTTCAGGCAGATGGAAAAGCAAATGCAGAAGCTCAGAGATGGAAAAGTGTTTAAGAACAAGAGCAATTACTGTGCAGAAGGCTGAATGCCACAGTGAGGCGCACACAGAAAGCTGTGGGCTCCAAAATGGAGGGCGTCAATTGGGTGCTTTTGGCTGCAAGTTAGAGAACTCCATTCAAAGTAGCTCTATAACAAGGGCATGGGTTATCCAACACGGCCAGAATCCAGAGGTTAGGTGGTCCCAGGACCGGCGCCTTCACTGCCGCTGCTCCACCCTAAAATGTCTGCACCTTCCCTGATCCTATGATTTCATGGACCTTTGGCTGGGAATGCTTGCATCCATGAGTCTTGGTCTCTCTGTTCCCTGTGACCAAATGTAGACGATGTCCCCTTGACCACCACAACATTCAGTCTCCCAAGCCCGGTCTGTCTGAGCTTTCCTCTCCAAGCATTTCGAGGGGCAAAAGGAGTTTACATCACAGCAAATAAATGGCTAAAAATTGTATGTTCAACTGCCCTGTGCTTAAAATTAAGTCCTTTTGTCCTCCTGTTCATTTGTTCTACTCACTTTTCTTCTCTTCTCTTCTCTTCTCTTCTCTTCTCTTCTCTTCTCTTCTCTTCTCTTCTCTTCTCTTCTCTTCTCTTCTCTTCTCTTCTCTTCTCTTCTCTTCCCTTCCCTTCCCTTCCCTTCCCTTCCCTTCCCTTCCCTTCCCTTCCCTTCCCTTCCCTTCCCTTCCCTTCCCTTCCCTTCCCTTCCCTTCCCTTCCCTTCCCTTCCCTTCCCTTCCCTTCCCTTCTCTCTCTCTCTCTCTCTCTCTCTCTCTCTCTCTCTCTCTCTCTCTCTCTCCCCCCCCCCTCTCTCCTTCCTCCCTCAAATTCTTGCCCTTTTGTTATGCACATCAGTTTAACCTTCTCTCTGGTTTCCTGTCCTCCTACCAAACCACGTTGCCTCACTGTCCACCTCTTTGCTCAAGAGAAAGGACAAAGAGTGATAAGGCTGCGAACAGAGCCCTGACGTCATCAAATGTTTGGCCAGCAATGGTACCCATCTCCTCTGAGCTCCTTTGTTTCTGAGGAAAACTATCCCCCATTTGCCTAAGCTTATAGTCATTTGAAGCTAAAAGCCCTCTCGCCAATTGGACCTGTGAGTAGCATTCCCTAGGTTCGAGGGCCTAGAACACAGAAAGCAAAAGCCTGCAAGAGGTGCTCTGGCACCAGCTGGGAATACAGCAACTCTTCTCCTGTCCTGTTTTTAAAACACACATGAAGGCCCAGCCTGTGTGGCTCAGTGGGTGAGTGTCAACCCCTGCACCAAGAGGTCACGGATTCCATCTCTGGTCAGAGAACATGCCTCTGCTTTTGGCTCAGTCCCCAGTAGGGGGTGTGCAGGAAGCAGCCAATCAACAACGATTATCTCTCATTGATGTGTCTATCTCTATCTTCTCCCTCCTTCTCTCTATAAAAATAAAAGAAAATAAAGAAGACATACATGTGTACCACAAGCCTTTGCATTCTGTATTCTACCTTAAATGTCCTTGGTGAAACCAGGAAAGCACAATTACTAGTAGTTACTCTTATATGAAAGCAGCATTGGGTTCTTCACTTTTTTGTGTTGTTTGTTTTTGTTCTACGAAACCTTTCCTCTGGATCCTTGTTAAAATTCTGTTTTCCTCAGGGCCACAATGACTGGGTGATGGATGTTGCCATTAGCAACAACAAGAAATGGGTCCTGTCTGCTTCAAAGGTAAAGGAGGCCACTCTTTGAGTGACTTAAAATCTCCATTGCATCTGTGATTAGCAGAAGCGCTGTTGTCAAGCAAAATTCCTGGGCAGGCTCAGTTTGAGGGCCACACCTGGCCAGGCCGTCCCCCTCCAGGGAGCCGCGTGTACAGGGAAAGGGGGTCCCTCTGTCCCCTCATGTGGGGAGTTGCCAGGTATTTCTGTGTCTGTACCACTGGCATTTGGGTCTTACTGGAACAAGGGCCTGGCCAGACTGGTGAGTAGTAAAGGCAATAAGAGGCCTTGGAGGGGAAGGCATCAGCTGTGGACAGGAACAGAGATCACCCTGCGGTCCCAGGTGGGTCTTCCCTCCCTACCTCACTACGCCCTGGATTCCCTTTCAGTGGCCCATAGTGACTAGCCCAGGAGGACCAGAGACATCATTTTCTAAGCTGAGAGTTGGTAGATCTATGAGACTGAGGACAAGACTCTTCCTACCATTACTAACTTAGTTGGGAGCCAACCTAGGATAGTACCACATTTGACAGAAAAACCATATGTGTCATTTCTTAATTTTATTAAAAATTTTTTTAAAAAATAAATTCATTTTAGAGAGGGAGATATATCAATGTGAGAATACACACCCACTACCTGGGATTGCACCCTCACCCAGGCATTTCTCCTACTGGGAATCAAACCAGCAACCTTTCGGTGCATGTCCCGACCAACTGAGCCACACCCGTGGCTAACCAACTGAGCTATACCAGCCACACCAGGGCTGTGTGTTATTATTTTCATACTAAAGGCCTGGCCTGCAGGATCGGGCCGAAACTGGCTCTCTGTCATCTCCTGAGGGGTCCCAGATTGCGAGAGGGTGCAGGCCAAGCCAAGGGACCCCACCACTGGTGCATTTATCGGGGCCAAGGAGGGACACAAGAAGTTGGCCAGCCGGGGAGGGACCTTGGGAGGGCTCCAGGGCTTGTCCAGCCCATCTTGCTCAGTCCCAAATTGGCTGGACCCCAGCAGCAAGCTAACCTGCTGGTTGGAGCGTCTGCACCTGGTGGTCAGTGCACATTATAGCGAGTGGTTGAGTGGGCTTAGCATATCATTAGCATATTTATGCTTTGGTTGGTTGAATGGCCGACCAGACAACCATACACTCAACATATTAGGCTTTTATTATATAAAATAAAAACATGAAAATGTCCTGGCCTGTGTTGCTCAGCGGTTAGAGTGTCAGTCCACACACCAAAGGATTGAGGGTTCGGTTTGATTTCCAGTCAAGGGCACCTATCTGGGTTGCAGGTTTAATCTGAGCCCTAGTCAGGGGTCATTCGGGGGCAACCAATCAATATGTCTCTCTCACATTGATGTTTCTTTTCTCTCTCCTCCCTCCTTCCCTTTCACTCTCTTTTGCAAAAATAATGGAGCCTGGCCAGTGTTGCTCAGTAGTTGAGTGTTGACCCAGGAACCAGGAGGCCATGGTTTAACTCCCAGTTAGGGCAGAGGCTATGGATTCGATTCCAGAAAGGCATGCAGGAGACAGCCAATCAATGATTCTCTCTCATCCTTGATGTTTCTATCTTTCTCTTCCTCTCCCTTCTTTTCTCTCTGAAATCAATAAAAACACATTTTTAAAAATTGCTGTAAGAGAACAATGGAAAAATATCCTCATCTGAGGATTAAAAAGACAAAGAAAGAAAGAAACAAAGGAAACCATGAAAAATGATTGTCAGTTATAACTCAGTAAAGTGGAAAAAGTAAAAATTAAAACAAAATATGAAAAATGAGTGCTTATTTGAAATTGTTTTATTCTTTATGTTTTACTTTTCTGTTACATAAATGCTGTTATTTAAACAAAACAACAATAGGACTAGTTAACAGCAATAATTAGTAGTAATTAATAGTAGGACTAATTAAACAAATATGTTTAAGAAAAATACAAAATATTTTATAATGTTTCTGTCCTCTGATACAGCAATTTATTTAGATTTTTAAAAAATACTTATGAGAGAGAGAGAGAGAGAGAGAAATCGATTAGTTGCCTTCTATATGCATGACCTGGGGACAAAATGTGTCCTGACCAGAAAGATACTCAACAAACTAAGCTACACCAGCCAGGGCTCAGTGTATATTCTTATTTTTTTTAAAAAAATATATTTTTATTGATTTCAGAGAGGAAGGGAGAGAGAGAAGAGGAGATAGAAACCAGTGATGAAAGAGAATCATGTTCCATATTGGGGATGGAGTCTGCAACCCCTGCTTGTGCCCTGACCTGGAATGGAACTGTGACCTCCTGTTTCATAGGTCAATGCTCAATTATTGAACCATATCAGCCAGGCTGTATATTCTTAAGATACATATATATAAGACTTTATAAAAAAGAGAATGTAAATAGAATAGGATTAATTAACTATTTATTTATTTCAGCTTTATTGATATATAATTGATATATCACATTGTATAAGTTTGTAGTATACAATCTGTTGATTTAATACACTTATATATTGTTAAATAATAACCACCATAGCCTTAGCTAACACCTCCTTCATGTTACATAATTACCATTTCTTTTTTTTTTATGAGAACATTTATGATTTATACTCTTAGCAAGTTAGATTACCCAACATTATTCATTTTATAACTGGAAGTTAGTATCCTTTGACCAACATCTCCTAGTTCTTCTTTTTCTTTTTCAATATATTTTTATTGATTTCAGAGAAGAAGGGAGAGGGAGAGACATAGAAACATCAATGATGAGAGAGAATCATTGATTGGCTGTCTTCTGCACACTCCCCACTGGGGGTCAAGCCCACAACCCAGGCATGTGCACTGATCAGGAATTGAACCTGGGAGTTTTCAGTCCACAGGCCAATGCTCTATCCATGGAGCCAAGCCGGCTAGGACCCAACATCTCCTATATCTTCTATCCCCAACCCCTGGTAAACACTACTCTACTCTCTGTTTCTAGGAATTTGTCTTTCTCGCCTGACTTTTGTCACTTAGCATTGTACTCCAAGGTCTGTTCATGCTGTCACAAATGGCAGAATTTTCTTCTTTCTCATGGCTGAACAATATTTCATTGTATCTACATATCACCTCTTCTTTATCCATTCATCTGTTGACAAACACAATAGCCAAGATATGTTCCCATATCATGCCTATTGTGAATGATGTGGTAATGAACATGGAAGTGCAGGGATCTCTTCAGGATCTTGTATTCATTTCCCTCGGGAATATACTCAGAAAAGGGATTGCTGGGTAAAATGGTGGTTCTATTTTTTATTTTTTGAGGAACCTCCATATTGTTTTCCATGGTGACTGCATCAATGTACATTCTCACCCACAGTGCATAAGGGTTCTCTTCTCTCCACATCCTCATGGCTCTCATCTCTTGTCATTTTGGCGATAGCCTTTCCTTTCCATGTACCTGTTGGCCATTTGTATGTCTTCTTTGGTGAAATGTCTATTCAGTTCCTCTACCCATTTTTTAATTGGAATTTTTGTTCTTCTGTTATTGACCTGTATGAGTTGTTTATGCATTTTGGATTTAACCCTTATCAGACACACGGTTTGCAATTATTTTCTTCCAGTCCACAGGCCTCCTTTTCATCTTATTGTCTCCTTTTTGGTTCTGTTTTGCTAATCCTCGCATGAGGATTTTTTTTTTTCCATTGCTTTTCAGATAGAGTGGAAAGGAGGGAGGAGTGGGAGAGGGAAGGAGAGAGAGAAAAAGAGGAAGAGAAAGAGAGGAGAGAGACACCTTCCAAGGGAGCCCAACCAGAGAGGATGGAGAGCGAACTGAGGTAAATGCCCTTTACTGGAATTGTACCGAGACCCTTTGGTGTGGAGGCCAGTGCTCCACCCACTGAGCACACCAGCCAGGCTAGGCTATTTCTTTTGCTATACAGAAGCTTTTTAGTTTGATATAGACCCAGTTATTTATTTTTGGTTTTGTTTCTGTGCTTTTGGTGCCATATCTGAATTATTTTCCTGAAGGTATTTTTTTTTTAAACATTTTATTGATTTTTTACAGAGAGGAAGAGAGAGGGATAGAGAGTTAGAAACATCAATGAGAGAATCATCGATCAGCTGCCTTTTGCATACTCCCTACTGGGGATGTGCCCGCAACCAATTACATGCCCTTGACCGGAATCGAACCTGGGACCTTTCAGTCCCCAAGCCGACGCTCTATTCACTGAGCCAAACCGGTTTCAGCCTGAAGTTATTTTTAAGATAAGGCTTCATAATGGCAAGTAAACTTTGCAGACCTCTGTAGTTTGACACATATTGTTGCATTTGAAATATTGTATGTATTGTAACTGGCTTTATATAAAATGCTGAATAGTGGAAATTGTATAATGTAATCATTAGTCAAAAAAGTATTAACAAAAAAAAAGAGGCACAGCCAAAGCCGGTTTGGCTCAGTGGTAGAGCGTCAGTCTGTGGACTGAAACATTCCAGGTTCGATTCCGGCCAAGGGCATGTACATTGGTTGCAGGCACATCCCCAGCGCAAGAGGCAGCTGGTCGATGTTTCTCTCTCATTGACGTTTCTAGCTCTCTATCTCTCTCCCTTCCTCTCTGTAAAAAAATCAATAAAATATAAAAAAAAAGAGGCACAAAAATTTTAAATTTTGATGAAGTCCAACTAATCTATTTTGTATTTTGTTGCTTGTGTTTTGGTGTCAAATCTAAGAAACCACTGCCTAATCCAATGTTACAAAAATTTACCCCTGTGTTTACTTCTAAGTCTTCTAGTTTTCTAGTTTTAGGTTTTGGAAACCAAGTAAAAAATAATTGACAATATATGTGAGGTTTTCTTTTGGGCCCTCAGTTCTATTCCATGGACCTATGTTTCTATTTCTTGTGCCTGAGTTACCCTGTCTTGATAACGGTAGCTTTGTAGTTACAAAGTTCTTGTTCTAGATTGTTTTGGCTATACTAGGTCCCTTGAATTTCCATATGAATTTTAGGATCATATTTAGTGAATATCTGCAGAGAAGTCAGCTGGGGTTTTCATAGGGATTATGTTGAATCTGGAAATCATTTTGGGGGCTACTGCCATCTTACCAATATTAAGTTTTCTGATTCATTGAACGTGGAATGTCTTTCTATTTATTTATGTCTTCTTTAGTTTTAATTCTGTGTGTTTTGCAATTCTTTTGTTAAATTTATTCCTAAGCATTTTGAAGCTAAATGAAACTGTCCAATTGCAAGATTGTTCACTGCAAGTGTATAAAAATACAATTGATTTTTGTGTATTGATTTTATATCCTGCACTCCTACTAAGCTTGTTTATTAGTTCTAATAGCTTTTTAGTAGATTCCTTAGGATTTACTATATACAAGGTCATATAATCTTCAAATAAGATAATTTTACTTCTTTTCTATTAGCTGCCTTATATTTCTTTTTGTCCACTTAAGTATTTTTGTGGAAGACGAAGAACTTTTGAATAATTTAGAACTTGCCTATCTCATCCCACATTGTTACCATACGTGCTTTTCACATTTTCCTCTCCACCAATCTCCCCACCCCCATCCCCCGCAGTTATTTTCTGCATGCGTGCAGTATGCTTTGTTCTGCTTATTTACTCTGCAGTCTAATTGTTTTGTTAAAAATGAAAAGTTTTCTTTTCATTCTCACCCAAGGATATTTTTTCATTATTATTTTTTTTTGCTTTTTTAGAGAGAGAGTGAAAGGGAGGGAGGGAGGAGAAGGAAGAGAGAGAAGGAAATAGAGAGTTAGAGAAGGAGAGAGAGAGATTGGTTGCCTCCTGTACATGCTCAGACTGGGGCCAGGGATTGAACTTGCAACTGAAGTACAGGCCCTTGATTGGGAATCAAACACTTATCTCTTCAGTTTTGGGGCTGATGGTCTAACTATTGAGCAAAAAACAGCAGGGCTAATTGATTTTTTAAAGTTCGCTTTTAATTAAATAGAGAGAAAAGAGGGGGGGAGAGAGAAACTTGGGTCGGTTGCTTCTGGTATAGGCCCTGATCAGGATTGAACCTGCATCCTAGGTGTGTGCCCTGACCAGGAATCAAACTCGCAACTTTTTGGTGTCAAACCTGCAGCCTTTTGGTGTACTGGAGGATGTGCAGGGCCCCTAACCCAGTGTTACATGTCTGTCATTAAACACAACTGTGTAGCTTCCTTTTCTGGTGACATATGGGTCATGCTGGCATTGGTCTTGTATTTGATCTCCTTTTCATTATCCTAACTCTTACAAAACAGATCACAATAGGCACAGTGTTAAAAATTCTCTCAGCACTACCTTGAAAGCTCAACGGATAATCCATAGGTAGAATCAAAGGCAAACTGTAAAAACTCAGAGTTACAATGCAGTTAAGTTGAATATTTAAGTCGCATCACTGGGAGTGAATCACAGTGATGGATGATTATTGTGAACTGCAAATTGTAGAAAACGGTATTGACCTGTGGAAGGTGAATCAACTATGCATACCCACTTGGCATTAAAGATATTTTACTTTCAGCTCCTATTACGAACTTCCACACCCATTGCTGAAACATGGGACATGGGGCTTGCAGAGCCAAAGCTGGAACGGTGCTGGGGAAACTGACAGTCGGTTCCCGAACTCTGCTCCTCTGCAGGCCAAGGTTCCCCACTCATAACCTGATGAGATGCACCTCCCTTCCCCCCCCCCCCCCCCCCCCCCGCAGCCCACTGAGCCCACATCGTGACGCTGGTTTTCTCTTTGACGTTTTTAGGATAGGACCATGAGACTGTGGAATATTGAAGAAATTGACCAAATTCCTTTGGTAATCAAGTGCAAAAAGAACCTGGGCTTAAGGGTGAACCAGGTTGGTATTGGATAAAATTAAGCCAAGTGAAGGCTTTCATTAGTTACCACTACAAATTAATTTATTCTTTGAACCAAACATTCAGTAACTGGGGATGAAACCATGAACAGATTGAAATGCTTGTTCTGAAGGAGCTTAAATTGTAAAAGGGGAGAAAAACAAAGAAATAAGAAAGTATTTAGTGAGCCACATGGTGCTGAGTAATTGGGGGAAAAATTTCAGGGAAGGGGAATGAGAGTGCCAGAGGGGGGACATTTTTCTTTTTATATATATATTTTATTGATTTTTTACAGAGAGGAAGGGAGAGAGATAGAGAGCTAGAAACGTCGATGAGAGAGAAACACCGACCAGCTGCCTCTTGCACACACCCCCGATGTGCCAGCAACCAAAGTACATGCCCTTGACCGGAATCGAACCTGGGACCTTTCAGTCCGCAGACCAACGCTCTACCACTGAGTCAAACCGGCTTCAGCGAGAAGGCAACATTTGTTCAAAGACTTGAAGATGGTGAGGGAGTGAGATGTGCAAGTGTTTAGGGGAAGACCTTCCCAACAGAGGGAACAGCCAGTGTGGAGACTGTGAGGCAGAGCCTGGTACTATCTGAGAAGTGGAGTGAGGGAGGGGACTGGGAAATGAGCCTGAGGGAGCACTGGGCACACGGCTGGATGCTGCCTGAGCCTCCTACACTCCGGCCGCAGACCCTCTGGTCCGGCTCTCGGTGCCCCCTTGCCATGGAAAGGGATCAGGTGCCCGCTTCTTCGGTGAAAGATCTCGATGGTAGGGCAAGCACGTCTTCTGCTTCACCAGGTGCAGCCAGGGCTGGCCACGGGGTCCTCCCTGGGCCGAGCAGGCCTGTCCCTACTAGGACCATGGAGCAGACACCTGGCTGCCACCGTAAGGGGCTGAGGAGTCTACCCTGGGCCTCTTGAGTCCTCCTTCCCTTGAGTCCTCCTTCCCTTCTCTCGGTGCTTTGGCCAGAAACAGGCTCTGGGGTGGAGGAGGATGCTCAGCAACCTCATCATCTAGTGAAACTTCCTGCTTTGTTCAGAAATTGTGCTTATTCGCAATTCCTTAATTGATGTTAAGGAATTAGGATATCCCCTTGGCCCATGGTTCTTTGCACAGAGCAGAGGTTGGGGTTAGAACCCTGTCGTCTCCACTGCCAAATGGCTTGCCATCTTGCCCCCAGGTCCCCTGGCAACACTTGCATAGCTTTCTGGGGGGAGAGAGGGAGAAGCCTATGCTCATTATTCTCTCTCAGTGGATAGAAACCCGAGAGGCGAGGCAGCGCTCTCCTTAACCCAGCCACGGTGGGTGGTCTAGGTGAGGGAATTCTAACTGCATGCCCCTACCCTAACATCCTCTTTCCTATTATTTTTAAACATTTCATGTCAGTGTGAAGCATGCGAAAAGCCTTTCTCCACCTATGACAGTGACGTCTTTCCTAAAACAGTCACCAAATGTGTGTTCTGCCGGATGGATGCAAGCTTGTCAGCAGAGGCCTCATCATCATCGGAAAAGAAGGACTCACCCACAAAGGCGGGCAGATTGGGCAATAAATGATGGCCACGGGCCCTTGGAGTGACGGGAGCACAGGCCAGCTCTCCTGTAGGTTCCAGGCTGCAAGGACCTTTCTCTGGGCCCTTCCCTGGCTGGGTGGGCCTGTCTCACTGGGGCAGGAGCCATGCCCTCGCTGGGCTCCCACCACTGCTCCAACCTCCGCTATACACACCCTGTTGAACAGGAGCGGATGCTTTTAGTTTTCAGGCAGAATAAACCAAGATCCTTTTGGAAAACGAGTGTGCATGTGAATTTCAGGAGCATTCTTGCTGTTTATGAGCGTTATGTCCTAGCGTTCATCCAGACACACTGGGATTCCCATTCTGGGCTCTGGAGTTGCCCTGTAAAGCAGGCCGGGGGGCTGGGACTAGCAACCCCTGAGGAAGGGCTTGTGAAATGAAGAGGAAAAGGTGTGGGGCCTCCTCTGAGGAGGAGGCTGTGGTGGCTCCCCGTCTAATGCTCCCAGGTGGCCGCCTGCCCAGAGCAGAGGAAGTCTGTTAGGCAGGCAGGGGGTGGGCATTTCTATCACAGAATGCTTCTTACTCCCCACCCCAGACCTTTCAATTCCCAGCATACCTTCTGCTGCCCAGAATATGCATAACTTAATTACTTTAGAAGTGAAGTCTCAGTTGCCAAACACAAAGGGCTCCCTTTCCCATTGGGCATGCTCACATGTCAAATATCATTCGGATGCTCCTTGGTCCATTTAAAAAAAACATAATTGCAGGACTCATTTATTTAGTGCCCATTGTCTGGCATCCTATAATTCTGCTCAGGAGCACCATAACCTGATGGTCATTCTCTGGGCTTAGTGATACCCCCCTCGGTTACAACCCTGGTGGCTGGCCAGCAGTCACCCATTTATTTACACGTCAAAATTCAAAGTCTCTCAGCAATTCGGGTCTCCTTTGAAGAGAAGTCCTATTGCTAGTAGTGTCCGTTTTCTGACACAAAAAGACATGCATAGATGTATTCTTTCCGCTGTGGAGGATGGGTGGACTACGTGCACCAACACTGTCCTCAGCGATGGGCACTTAGGTCGTTTCTCCTCCCTTTGCTATTACTAATAATACTGGAGTGAACCTTCCTGTGCGTATATTTTTGCAGAAACTTACATTTCTGTGGAGGAGACTTTCCCACCTGAATGGCCGGGTGAATGGATTAGCAGTATATGGTTTTGTTGTAGTTCAAAGGCGGGGGCAAAGTGGCTGATGTGCCTGAGTAAGGGGACCCAGACTGGGCAAGGAGAAGCCTGGCGGCGCCCGTGAATGGTGTTGGTGCTCCAAGGCCAGTAGCCGGGTCCCTTGAAGCTCTCCATCCCTGTGCCCCCGGTATTCCCCTCTCCGGGGCCCAGAGAAGCGGCCCAATGGAAGCTGTGGGTCTGGTCTCCGCGGGCGTGCAGACGAGCCGCCAGGATAACCGCGGTCCGAGCGCGGCGCGGCGGGCCACCGCGGAGGGCGGCGGCGCGGCGGGTCCGATGCGCGGTCCCCGCGGGCCTCCCGCGGGCACCTTCTGAGGAAGGGGACCGCCCGCGGGACAGCCTGGCGGAGTTCGGGCGCCAGGGCAGAACGAAGGCCTGGTCTTGCGCTAGCATCCCCCACAGAAGGAAGCCGCTGGGCTCCCCACCCGGACGTGGACACTACAGAGAAGCGAAGGGGAACGCAGCGCGGGCGCAGGGATCGCGGCGCGCCTCCGCTCCACTCGGCAGCTTTTGTATCCTCCACGCATGCGTCCGCCGCCGGCAGCACTCGTGCGCATGCGTGCACCGCTGGAGCATATAGTAATGGGGAATAGATTCTCGCGGTACCCGTGCGGGCGGCGCCGTGGCTTAGTTGGTTAAAGCGCCTGTCTAGTAAACAGGAGATCCTGGGTTCGAATCCCAGCGGTGCCTGCGTCCAGCCTCTCGGGCAGCTTTTTGTCCACTTCCAATTTTGCTCTGCACCCCAACCCTTCTCCTCCCCATTTGGGGGCAAAAGGGTGATTCTGAGAAGGCATTTCAGACCGTCCTGCATGCGGCTGGATGGGGCGCTAGCCCTCCCTGGAGTCCACCGGAGGATAGAATCCGGCCTGTGTGAGCCGGGTAATCAAAGTATGAAAACTCTAGGGAGGGAACGGATCAAGCAGTCCCCCGAGTTTGGGGCCAGCTCTTCCAGGGGAGGGCAGGAGTGAGGCTGCGCCTAAAGCCCGGGCTGGGTGCAAATCCACGGTCAGAGAGCCTGACTCACAGCAATTGAGTCTAAGTCTCTGGGGACGCGGTGAGGCATTGGGATAATAAAAAAAAGTAACCCAGGATTTCTCATGTCAATCGCAACAGGACAGTTTCAACCAGCTGCAGAAATTGCAGTTCTGTCCTCAGTCTGTGTCCCCAATACTCATTCATCTGCCCCAGAAGCGGCTCTTCTCTCTTGCTCCAATGGGTTTAGGTTTTACATTTTGCTTTGAGGTCAATTACTTGCCCTTTGTAGCTTGGTTGTTTTTGTTTGATATTGCAAAGAAAAACTTTTAAGGATACATTGAGGCTTTGCAGTTCTAATAGGAGCATCAGAGATGAGTCTTGGTCACAGGGCTTGAGTCATTGTGAGCCGGACATTTTTCTGGCCTCTTTACTGCTTGCCTGAGGGATTTCAGTCAGTTTTGAGCATGTGCCTGTTATGTGGCCAAGGGGAGATATCAAAAATATTTTTTCTTTTTTAGCTTTAAGAGTATAAATTTTGCACATTTTTGGGTAAAATGTAATCCTAAATATGTTCTTTTGTTTGATGTTATTGTAAATGGAATTTTAAAAATATATGTTTTTATCGATTTCAGAGAAAAAGGGAGAAGAGAGAGATAGAAACATCAATGATGAGAGAAAATCATCTGTCAGGTGCCTCCTGCATGCCCCACACTGTGGTCAGAGCCCCCAATCTGGGCATGAGTCCTCCTGGTTCATAGGTGGATGCTCAGCCACTGAGCGGAGATGTACACCCTGTCAGCTGCTCCCTGGGAAGTTTCATATTTGATGATCCTCTGGAGAATGACCTCAGCTTGGGGAAGGCTCCTTGGACAGCCTCTCAGGAAGAGCTCCGCCTTGCTGCCAGGTAAGGGCAAGGAGTGAGGTCTCCACTGTCTGGGCTCTCAGTTGGAAGAGACAGAAATCAGTCATTGATACACCTCATTCTGCTCATTTGTGTGGTTGCTTTTATTTTATTTTTGTTATGGGGCTGTGCCCCTGATAGGGAAGGGGAGAGACACACAGAGAAAAACATCGATGTGAGAGAGACACATTGACTTGCTGCCTCCTGTGTCCACCCCGACCTGGCCAAGGAATGAGCCTGCAGCCAAGGTATACGCTCTTGACCAGAACCATACCCGAGATCCACTGAGGCAAATCAGCCCAGGCTGTGTGGTTATTCTTATAAATCAAACTATAATGTTGAATGTATTTGTACAAATGATATTTATAAAATATTATAAATGTTTAATAGGTTAATGTAGGAACAAAACGTTTCATACCATATTTTAATTTTTAAAATTAGATTATATTTTAACACAAAAACTCATCCAAGTTTAATTTAAATTCAGCAAATGTGGAGTGTCTACTGGGTGTAGGATGGTTTACTACATGCTCTGGGGGCTGTAAAAATAGGTTTAGAGGGTCTTGGGGGCAGGGAGGGAGGAAAATCAGGCTGGCAGGACATTACGATGGGGAGCAAAGGTCAGGTGTAGAAATTAGTTCGGACTGGTTTCCAGACTTCATTTGGGGCTCCTCATGGCTCTGTGCCCCTGAGATACTCTATTACTCCCTTCTAAACTGAGATTGGCTCCTTAGAAGGCAGTTGAAATTTTCCAGTTATCCTGGAAAATAAAATGATGCCAAGTCAGTCACTAGTTGTGCTGACTCTGCTACATCAGACAGACTATGTAGTGTACTTGTGTGTAGCTGGGACTGAGTTGCATAAAGAAGCTTGGGAACCTTGCTGTAAGGAAGTTCTAGAGGTGTGTCTGCTGGTGAAACTTTGGTGGGCAACAGCTAAGGGTGGCCTCGCAGGTGGGGTCTGCTGCTAAGCCAATGACTTTCAGTAAAACCACACTGGTGACAGTTAAGCCCTGTAGATGGCCAGGCTAATCAGATTCATAGGGGGACCTGCACCCCTGATTTCCCTCTGTCAGTGTTCCCCACATTCTTTTTAATGCATGCTAATAATATCCATATAATAAAAGGCTAATATGCAAATAGATCAAACAGCACAACTGAACAACCAGTTGCTATGATGTGTGCTGACCACCAGGGGGCACACACAGAACATGACAGGCATTGGCTGTGGTGGGATGGTGGAGCAGGTGAGCGGGGGCGTCAGGTGCCAGTTGCTGTTATCAGGGCTAGCCTCTGGTGGTTACTGAAATTTTTTTGCTTCTGTGCACCGCAGTCCCGCCTGGCGCTTGCACCTGCTGCTGGTACCAGCCCCATTCGCACCCTCTGTTGGCGCTGGAGCCACCATGTGTACCTGCTGCCAGCTCCTGGCACCGTTAGTGGGTGCAAGCAGCAGCTGCCAGCCCTGATTGCCCCTCAAGGTTTCTCCACCTCCCCTTGCTCCTGAGGGGTGATTGAGGTAGCAACCTCTGCTCACACTCATTGCTGGAGCTGGCCCCAATTGCTCCATGCCCGTCAGCAGGTGCAAGCGGGGCTGGTGCTGTCGTTTGTGGGAATGGCAGCAGCAGGAGTGGGACTGTTGGCAGATAAGAGACCAGGGGCCTTGGTGGGAGGGGCTGGCAGGGGCATGGAGGATGGGCTGAGACCCGCCACAGCCTCAAGGCCCACAGTTCCTTTCAAGGTACACAAATTCATGCACTGAGCCCCTAGTATAATTATAAATCCATTTCATCAAACAAATATTCCTAGACCACATTTTCTAAATTTATAAAATACCAGTATTGTTCTGCCTGGTGTTGCTCAGTTGGTTGGACATCATCCTGGGCACCAAAAGGTTTCGGGTTTAATACCTGGTCAGGGCACATGCCCA